TCTCTCTCTCTCTCTCTCTCTCTCTCTCTCTCTCTCTCTCTCTCTCTTTCTTTTCTTTTCTGTTTTTCGAGACGGGGTTTCTCAGTAGCTATGGAGCCTGTCCTGGAACTAACTTTGTAGACCAGGCTGGCCTCTAACTCACAGGGATCCGCCTGTCTCTGCCTCCCTCCCGAGTGCTGGGATTAAGGGCGGGCGCCACCACCGTCCCGAGGAACAGTTGTTCTTACAGTTGAACCATCTCCCCAGCCCCAGGTTCAATTCATTGAGCTTCAGGCCCTAGTGCTAAGTGTTTGCAAACCTTCGACAAAGCTCCAGGACTCCGGTTATCACGCCCTTCTCTCTCTAGAGATAAAAGACGCAAGTCAGGTGGCTCGGTGAAAAGATTCTGGTTTCGAGTGAGGTACAACTGGTTTAGAAACCCCTACCTCCAGCTGGATGACCTTCAGTCTGTGGCTTGATTTCCTCAACCTCCGTTTCCTTATTTGAAAACTGGCAATAATTGAAGGGGGGGAAAACAGTATTTGGTGGATGTTTGTCACGTTAATCCCAAGCACACTGAATATGGTTTTCGAGAGTAAACTGCTCAGTAACCCTACGGGAAGTTAAGCTGTTACAAAGGAGAAACACGGACTGAGGTGCTTGTTCAAGCACAGTTAGGAGCTGGGAACCCACAAGGGAGACAACGCCTCAGGACACTAGCGTTAGGTTGGCTGGCCACAGAGTAAACGTAGAAGGAGCGACAGGCGGCAAGAAAAGGGTCAATGGAACTACTGGTTGTTTTCACGTTTTTTTGTTTGTTTTATTTTTTGGTTTTTGGTTTTTTTGCGACAGGGTTTTTCTATAGTCCTGGCTGTCCTGGGTCTCAGTCTGTAGACAAGGCTGGCCTCGAACTCAGAGATCCACCTGCCTCTGTCTCCCGAGCAGCTGGGATTAAAGGCGTGCGCCACCACCAACTCTGTTGTTGTTTTGAGACTAGACTTTTTTTTTTCAGTCCTACTTATTCCAGAACTTTGTGCTGTGCAAGCCTTTAATCCCAACACTGTCTGACGCAGAGGCAGGTAGATCTGAGTTCAAGGGCAGCCTGGTCTACAGAACAAATTCCAGGACAGGGGAGGCTACACAGAGAAACCCCGTCTTGAAAAACAAAATCAAAAAAATGAGTCTGGAGAGAGAAATTAGAGCACTGACTGCTCTTCCAGAGGACCTGGATTCAACTCCCATCACCACATGGCGGCTCACAACCATCTGCCACTCCAGTTCTAGGGGCTCTGACACCTAAACATAGACACAGGCCAAACAGGCAGACAAAACACCAAGGAATGTCAAATAAAAATAAATCACTAAAAAGGTTTCAAAAACAGAAAAAAAACCCAAAAAGGAAAAAAATACCAATAAATACTTTTTAATCTATTCTTTTTAATCTATTCTTTTCTAAATGCTCTTTCTAACTTTTCTCCTAAAATAGCTTCTTGGAACCAACGTTATTGTATTTGTGCTTAATTTTTGTTCTCATCTAAATGTGCATTTTCTGACTGTATAGAAGAAACTTTGTTAAATAAGAAACTAAATAAATTACACAGAAATTTAAAATAAAATAAATCTACATTTCTTTTAAAGATAAAAAAGAACCAGTTCTTGAGCGTTCTGTTTATTTGGCTAGAAACTGGCCCTTGAACTTAGTCTTCCTTCTCCTGGCATCTGCAGTTCCCTATTCTCAGAAAACGCAGTCTTCCACCTGAAGATGGGCACCGGCTGATTCAGACACCAGCGCATCTGTTGCTTAAGACTTTTCCAAAATAATTTCTGTTGCCACTGCGGACAGTGAACTTCTCCAAAAGAGTCTGTTGATCGGGGAGCCTCTCCGCGCAGCCCTTGCCAGTTTCTTCAGCTTGCTTCTGAGTGTCAGTGCAAATCCTGACATCTGTACCAGACTCCTTCCAAAGAAAAAGCAGGCAGCCGTGCATGTGTCAGAGGTAGTAGCCCCTCAGGACAGGCCTAGCAGATGATACACAACATAGCCAGGTTTGCCTGGCTTTGATTTTGGTCTGGAGACAGGGTTTCTGGATCCTTTTCTGGGAGGGTTCATCTAAAATGGTGTGTCGAAGG